CGCGTCACGACAAAACCAACATAGTGCGTTTGCGACCAGCATGGATCCAGACCAGCCTGCGCATCCGCGCAGTCTGATCAGGATTCATGCTGTTCGCTTACCAACTCTATAACAAGAAGAGAAACTGATAACGAACAGCATGGATCCTGATCAGACTGCGCGGTTTTGTCGTGACGCGGCTCATATTTACAACATATACTGGGATAATTCAGCGTCATTTTAAGAAAATAAAGATAAATTAAGTTAATATAAAGTTATCATTTAAAGTTAATTTTTTCTTCTTGAAAATTTTGATAAAATTTCATTATTATCATTACGATTCAAATTACAGTGTCTATTTTGTACCTATAGCTTAAGATACATTGTACTTAAAACATAATTGTTTTAAAGAATACAGCATATAATTTAATAGTCTGTAAGTAGATTACGAGTAGTCCTTAAGAAGATGAATAAATACAGTATACGTTCATAATTGCTTTAAAAACAGTTTTTTCCGGAGCTTTTGTTTTACTGTTTTACAGTGCGAAAAAAATTATTACTTTGTTGAATAGATATAAAATATATCGAAAACAAAAACGTATGTCTTAATTTCTGTCTTTTCAGGATGCTGCCATAAAACATGAATGAGAAGATACCAGATATAAAGTGAAAGTCTTAAAAGAGTAATACATCAGGTATTAAAACATATTTACTGTTAGGGTTTCTTAATCGGACAAAAATCATAATCGATCATCGAACAACCTTTTTCGATCAATCATCGATTATATAATCGAAACATTTATGATAACAAAGTAAATATGTACAATGCACATATCATGCTTTAATATTTATAAGAATTCCATTAATATTCTTTATTTTGTGTAACTACCACTTAATCAACTGAAATAAACTAGTTACTCTGATGCTTATGTTCATCCTTGAGTAAAATATTTTAATCAAATAAATTCATTATATCTATGAAATTATTATGTCTCAATTCCAATAAAGGAATGAATAAGCTATGTATGGGAACAAGAGAAGTTGGTCATTAATAAAAATGCCAGGTTTTTTTAATGTCACTATATATTTATATTGTAACCATCTTTAGTTTAGTGTGTAGAATAATTCTATACATATCTTCTTCGTTTGAAGTCAAAACCTGTTTATTTCATATTTACAAATAGACTGTGTAGCAATTTTCTAATTTCAAATTTCAGCACAGTATGTCTGTAAACAAGAATAATAATTATAATAAAGTGAGTCACTTAAGTAACAGCAAGAAGATAAATAACCGATGATCGATTATTGAACTTTGTATTCGATCATCGCTAATCGGTCCTATAAACGATCAATTATCGATTATACTCGATCAACGTTTAATCCCTATTTACTGTATTTGTCTTTTCCATGAACCCGTTACTGTAAGGAATAGCAATTCTTTAACTATTTGTCTACAGATGGCAACTAAATATACCCATGTGAGTAGTGCGGAACAAGATCTGCCTGTACTATATCAGTTCTATACCAATCTGATCATGGTCGGCACTGTTTGCAATTCAGTCAGAACATATTTTGAAAATTTCTCCAAGCTAATGAATAATTTTGTGCCAGATTGTTTTAGTAACACTTATGCCTAAAAGCCCATTTTAACATTCTTGGCATGGGCAAGATGCCGTATAGTAAATAAAATTTGTTCTTGTCGTTGAAGTTGAAGATTTAACAATCGGTGTCTTTCATATACATATACAATATTAAACTATTGAATTATTAACCTTCGCATTTTAAAACAAGGAAATGCTTTGCGAAGAATACCAATATATTAAAATACACTGTTAATTTGTATCCAGTTCATGTTTTTACAAATAGACTTTGTTGTTTATATGACTGCCAAAATCTCTTCATGGCCTGTAAATTGTAATTGAACTCTACAAAGGTTAATTTTACATAAATTGTATACCGTAATTTATTATTCTGCTCAGACACCCTCATTCACACATGGTCTTTAATTTAATAAAAATTACACCCTTTCTCACCAGGTCTTGATTTAAAAGAAAAAAGAAAAACTCCTCAGGCATTTTTTTACATTTCGTCAAACCTTGAGAGTGGTCTCTGTAAGTTAAGATATATGTACCATAAAATTGTATTGTTTATTTTGGTGCAGCTGAGTGGTTAAGTGAATGGAAAGTTTTTTTGTTTTTTGCTGTACCACTTATTGTATGAATTATTAATATTTTCAAAATGAATTATGACATTTGAGGTGGTAGTGGAAGTCTTAAGATATATTTACAGCTAACTTGACTTTAAGCATCTATTGTAATGGGGTTCTTTTGTGAACAGAAAAAAATGACAAGAGGAAATTGAAATATATTTTTAAAATTTCTATTTACTGCTTCACAAAAAGAAACCTTAAAGGGACTCCACTGAGGTTTTTGTGACATGATTCATGAACATTTTTTTCCGAGGTTAATGTTCCATTTGATGTAGGTTTAGACCAATAATTTGTGTGCAAAATTTCAGGTCATTTGCTAACTCTGTGTTTTTCCAGAATAATTCTTATTGTGAAAAAAATGACCCAAAATTGAAAAGCGTATATTCTAGCTATGATTAAGAGGAGCACAAAAGTACAATTTTCACTTTATTTCTGAGTATATTTTTTAATTATCTTTTGCATATCTTTCTGTTTAAAGTGTCCCAGCTGATCTATGTAAGAATTTTAGACTTTTGGACATCAGCGGAGTTCATTTAACCTTTAATCTGCTGAATATTTGTAATGGATTTGCCCTCCTTTTAATTTAGAACAGTTCATTCAATGTGTTTTAAAGGAATACAAAAATTTGAGCTATAAATAGCATAGAGATGGCCCTAGTATGCGTGCAGTGTGACCTGGATCTATGTTGCTTGTTAAAGGAACTAAAAGGATAAGGGCAATATGACTGAATATGTCTCATGAAATATAAAACGATTAATCATATCACAAGAAGCTAAATGCTATCTGAATCCAAAATATTGCATAATTTATGCTAATTCTGTTTTTGGAAACCCTTTTGCCATGTTTTTAGATTTTGGTGCCTTTGTGATTTGTAAATGAATTAGATCAGTTAAAATAAATTAATCCTACACAAGATAGTAATTTTACTTTAAAGATTTTCTTAATTTTTGTAAAAGCAGCTTAAATTGAGGAAGGGGTTTTTGGGGGTGGGCAGCCGAAATTGTTGATGGTTTGTTTTGGATACTGCTTTTAATAGTTATGATGTCTTAAAATGAATAATAATTAGGTATGAAAGAAGTCAATGAAAATAACATAGATATTAAGGATGGGTTATGAATGTTGCATTTCAAAATATTTATAAGCTATGCATAACATAATCGTGGTATCATTGAGGTTAAATTTTATATTCACCGGTTTGTGAATCTAGCATATTTTATGTACAGTCTTTATTACATATGATTAATAAAGTAAGTACTATTGCATTAATATGCATGTGAATTAATACTGAAATAAAAGACGTATGTAATGATAATTATCGACCCTTGCATAATTATAGTGCAATATGTCGTCGTACATAAAAAGTTGTAGTCATAATTGCTTATTATTTGTACCTGAGGTGTACATAAATTATAATCACAATTATCACATGATTTCAATTGTTAATAAAGAAAGTATTACACTGTATTAACTGATGTGCTCATGTGGCACAGTGTTGATATGGAGATGTATATTATGACTGACAGTTGAAGATGCAAGAAGTCTAACTTTCTTTAATCCATTACCATTAATTTAATAATTTTTTTATTGGAAACAAAGACCTCTCCAAGTTCTTCAGGGTTTAAACATTTAACTTGCATTCTTGCAAAATGCATTGAGTAAAAATAATATTTAGCAAGAGGTAGAAATAACAAAAAAGAAGCATCATGAGTTCTTAACATTTTTGTAGAGAAGTTGAAGAACTAACATCTTGAACATGTTTAAATGTTAGAAGTAAGTAACACCTTTAGTATAATAGAAATTTTTTAGAGTTATTTGATAAAATTGCTTTTTCAACAATGCAGTAATACAATACAATGCAGTGAATAAATATGAACAAAATTAATGTTAATAAGGATGAACTGTCTGTGAATTATGGTAATCCTTACACTGCTCAATTTCTTTTATTGACTTGCCCATTTTCCATTCTTTGGAACTGTCCATTAGCAATTTTGGGTTGTTTTTTTTATTACTAAGAAGAGGTTTTTAACCTGACTACATGAATATGCACACGCAGACTTGCTTCAGGTTCTACTGTATTCATCATCAAACTGACCTGCCCCTTGTGGCGGACAGGTTGCCTTTAATAGTTGAGGCAAAAGAATTGCAATGCATGATTGTAAGAGGCGACTTAATGGGTTTGAGTAACTGGTGTCCATGCATCTCGTAGGTCTAGCAGGTGAGGTGGTTTAGACCCCCTGGTGTTGCTTTGTAACAGTCACGAGGTATGCCTGGTGTTGCTTTGAAGTTTGTATCAGTCTTGACATTAGCCAAAATCATCTTTCCTGTACTGGTGCTAAATGACCTGTATACCAAGTTTCATTCCCAAGTTCTATTGGTTAAGAAATTCAAATTTAAAATCTATCATCATACTGACCTGTTATATTATGATCGATCATAACAAGAATGGGGTCATGTGACATTCCATAATGGTAAAGTATATATCCTCATACGTAAACTAATCCTATAATACCAATCTATTATTTACTGTCGTGTAATATTGTATAAATATTCAACACTTTATTACGCTTCCAAAAATGTTTAACATGTTATTATAAGTATCAAATTTCATAAACACAATGCGTTATTCAGGTTTTTAAGTTTAGTTTGCTAAATTTTTAATTTCATGTTGTTTTGCGTAAATTTTGTAAAGCTTAACATTATTGGAAGTTGAATTAAGTTTTTAAAAAATTCAACGCTTATTACACATTATTTATGAGTTTGGGCATTATTTTCACAGGTAAAATAAATTGTTCGAACACAAATCGGTGATAAGCAATAACTTGGTTCGGTGAAAATGAGAAAAATAGTTTTGTTTACTTAATATAGACGAAATTTTAAAGTATAGCTTATCTAATAGAAAAATTGGGTATAAAAAGAAGTCTGGTCAATTTGAAGCAATGCTGGAATGTGGATTGGGAGAGTAGTGGAGCATTGATGCGTTAATAGGCTGTAAAATTTCTATATATACAATATCAGTCGGTGGACTAAATATTCACTATCTACTTACCTACCTGGATAGAAAAGATGGATATTTCTCGTTGGTTTAAAGTGCTTTATAGGCCGGTTTAAAATAAGATTGTCAATTTAAGAAATATTTTGAAAAAAAAGTGAATGGTTTTATAATTATTTTTTTTTTGTGGAGGAAACCAAACAAAAAATGAGTTGGCTTAAATCAAAGTCATACTCCTTGAAGGTAAAATATAATTATATTACTAATAATATTTCTTTGATAGGTATAAATAAATCATTTGATTATATTTTAATTTCTTAAACTATTTTTTTTCCATTGATACTGAGATTGCCTTTAGGGTTTATAAGAAAGTATTAGGAAATCAATATACATACATGTTTCTAATAATTAATTAATTAATTAATTGATTAATTAATTAATTGATTAATTAATTGATTAATTAATTAATTTTTCTGGAAACCATACTTTTGATATCATTTTTGATACACTCAGATATATAGATTTATATTGTATTATAAGTATATTTTGCTTTTATTGAGAATTTAAAATTGCAAAGAAGGACTTCTTTTAATGTTGATGGTAATGATTGGGTTTCACCGAGATAAATAAATTGAATAATGTATGATTAAAACCCATTAATATGGTTGTAACGTTTTATAATGCACTTGTCCTGGATTTAATTTGGAACAATTTACTGTCCTTTGATAATTTGTGAGTGATTTTGATAAAAACTGCTTAAATTGTAGCAAAAATGTACTTATCTCTCACACTTGTGACTTAAAGTCAGTGCAGAAATGCTAAAAGCTGTACACAAGTTAGGTGTATATATATGAAGTGAATGCATATTAGTTTGCAGTCTTGGAAAAAAGGTTTCAAGTGTGTTAAATTTATTCAGTGTGCACAAATTTTCAAAATATATCACATTAGCTCTCTCATTATTGAAGTTTAGGGAGGCCTGAATTTTAAGATAGGTCATTTAAGTACATGGCATGATTTGTTGAATAAAAATTGCTTTTAGTTTAATATAAATACATGAACTATACTTCAATGAAAGATATTAGTTTAAGATTTAATCATACTGGCATGTAGACAACTTTGACTTCTTTTCATCTGTAATATTATGAAATACACAGTAGACGTTATCTGTGAAAAGTAAACATTTATTTTCCATTCGGAGAGGACAAGAAAAAACACTGCTATTTATATGCACTGACTTGCAGTGAAGTATCATAATATTTACCTTTCTGTTATAGGTTTATTTTTGTAATGCTACGTTGTATCTTATATTGGCCTATAATAGTTTTTAACATCTTGATTATGAATTACTAGCAATTCTGCTGTCTGACTAGGCTCTATACTGTAGATAATAGCCTAAAATCCCTTAAACTTTAAATGGACAAGCTGAGCAAATCCATACCAAAAATTTAGGTTTGAGAAATTTCAGTACAAAAATATTTGTAATTATGCAGTCAAAATGCAATTTGTAGACCTATCTTGCTCTACTTATGCTATATTCTTAGTTAGAAAGTTAAAGAAAGTAACAAGGCCGAATGGTTATGGTCGTTGACTCCAAACCACTTGCCCCTAACCGCTGTGGGTTCGAATCCCTACAGGGACTTTTCATTCTTTCATGTGAGGAAGCTATCCGGCTAGCTTATGGCATAGGTGGTTCTACTCAGGTGCCCGTTCGTGCCTGAAATAATGAACGGAAGGGCACCTGAGGTCTTCTTCCACCAGTAAAGCTGGAACATTGCCATATGACATATAAAGTCGGTATGACGTAAAATCCAATCAAACAAACAAACAATTCTCCAACACCAACCCTCTGGATCTGCACATGTGAAAGTTTTTTTTCCGTGATTAAAAAAATTATTGAATAGAAACAGCTACTGCAATTAATATAAACTTTGGCCAAGTTTCTGACACACTAATGCTCAATGTTTTATATCAAAGAATATATATTACAAACTTGGCTCTTGTACAGAATGCTTTTGTACACATTTCAAATTTTTGAAATATTACATCATTCTTTGTTTTTTTTAAGGGCGGTGTTACTGCTTCCACAGTGTTAATATTGTTTTTATGACTCAGAAATGATTAACTGGGCTGTTACTGATTAATTATAAAGTTTATCAGAATACTCACAATACATGTAATTACTTGGAACTCAGGTGTAAAACCATTATAAACAAACTAAAGAAAAATGTTCAGACTATAGATAGTGCTTTTATGTATAGGTTAGTGTTTAATAATATGTATTAACAAAAATAATTGGTCAAGCCTGCCGCAGGCAGGCGACCAATTATTTTTGTTAATGCATATTATTAAACATTAACCTATTTAATGATCAACATTATTTTTTCAACCAAAAACAAGGCATTTCACTAAATCACCAATAGCTCCGCCCTTCGCTCTACAAGATGTCTACACCTTGTCAAGTTTCTGATATGTCAAATTTAGATAAGCTAAATAAATGGCGCTATCAACAAATAATCAGGCACATTTTTTACTGAAATGTCACAGAATTTATACCTTTATCTACAGTAAGACAATCATGTTTTCTATAAAATATCTGGGAAAAAACAGCGAGGAAAAACAATTTTATAACAGACATTTTTCTTAGAGTTAAAAGGATATAAAAAAGTTACTATGTAATCATTTGTCTCTGCATGCCCCACATGTATTATCTATGTAATAAATCAATTGATTGTATCCTCACATTTAGACCTCGCTTAATTGTTTTTTACGTTGACATTGTTTTGATAACCTTAGATATTTTACAATTCAGAGTGCAAATCACACCTCTAACTCCTCCCTAATATAATGCATTATTGAAATTTGTTAGACTGGTTAGACGACAGATTAAGTAAATTTTATTTAGTTAGTACACATTAACCAAAGTTAGACTTAGCAGAAATTTGAAAAATACTACAATGTGATTGGACAAAAAATAATGTTGATCATTAATTAAGAATATTTATTGAATGTATATTATTTGTATAAGCTGACATTAAACCTGCTTGATGTCAAGGCTTCTAGATATAGCTATAAATATTCTGTGATTTAAGACTTCTTTCAGTAAAAGATAACAAAATTTTGAAACATGTGTAGTTAAATTTTTCTTCTTTTTTTTTCTTCTTCTTTTTGTTTTTTTTTTGTTTGGTCTTTAAATCATTCTGACAGTTAGTTAGACCCCTTGTGGCTGAGGGGTTGCTTAAAGGGTTGAGGCATCAGAATTGAAGCCACAGTTTATCCCTGCGTGAGTGTAAGGGTCAACTAAATGGGTTCATATTACTGGAGTATATGCATCTCTTTAGGCTGCAGCAGGTGAAATTTTTTTTACCCCTAGTGGTGTTGCTTTAACTTTGTAACACCCAAGGTTAGCCAAAATTGTCTTTACTATTTTGGCACCATATCACCTAAATTGTGTTTGCACTGCAAAACCAAACAAAAAACCTTTAGTTGGTTGAAACAAAGTAATTTTTACTTTAAGAAAACTTCTTTCTACAAGATAATCACTTTCAAGTCTGCTTCCTCAGGGCTATATAACCATGAGTACAGAAACAGTCACAGAGAAATTTTGCCTCATCTGAGTATTGAACCAGGGACCACTGGATTACTTTTCTGATGCTGTCTCTATTGAACTATGTAGGCAGACAGACAATTGTTCCAAAAGTAGGAATTAGCCCCAATAATATAGTTAAAACTTAATTTGTACTTAATTGTAAATACTTACTTCATTATAACAGTCATGTATGTAAAAGTTTTATTGCAAAAAGTTCCATGACTAAGGAATATGAATTATAATTAAATGCTTGCTAAATAACAGTTTTTAGGTCAGTTTTACAATGTACACTCTTTTAAGATGAAAGTGGGCATGGCTTGATTTCTTAGTACTTGAATCATGAAATGTTATTTGAGCCGCGTCATGAAAAAACCAACATAATGTGCAGGCTGGTCTGGATCCATGCTGGTCGCAAACCCATTATGTTGGTTTTGTCTTGACACGGCTCATATATAAAGGTGATGAATAGTAAAAAGCTATGTTAATAGGGGATTAATGGACAGAAAATAGAATGAATAGATCTGACAGCGCGGGGACACTGGGCAGGTCTTGCCTATATATAAATATGTTCTTTTCAGCATTCACACCTTGATGTACATAAAAGAAGTGAAAATAATCCTATTAGTTTAGGTGAAAAAGAAGCACAAAAAGAGAGAAAAAATAAGATTGTAATTCCCATGGAAAAAATGGGATGTTCATTTACTAGAGAAATCTTTAGAGAAAATTTTAGGAGGAACAAAAATAGAAATATTTGTACAATCTTAAATCATATTTACATTATACAGGCTTTCTACTGGTCCCTACTTTTCCTACTTTTCCTACTTTTCCCTACTTTTTTCTTTTGATCCCTACTTTGCCCTACTTTTTTCTGAAATAGCCCTATTATCCCTACTTTTTCATTTTGAAATGAAATGAAAAAAAGAAGATAATTAAAATGGTATTTCAGTTGTATTTCAGTTGCAATTGATTAATAGTTCAGGTGTGTGTTAGTGTCTCCTTGTGATGTCCATCCTTGAAAGACTCATGGTCAGAGCTGCATTACTGGTACTAGTACTGCAGTATATACTGGAGCAATTTTGCAAGTACTGGTACTGATACTGAATTACTCTTACAAAATTTTGCTACTACTCAGGTACTAGTACTGCATTACTGTCTTAAAAAAGTGGTACTGCTACTGCATTACTAGGCAGTATTTTTGGTTTTGATAAACATGTCATTATTTTTACTCAGAAAGTAAAGCTGTAAATTCCACATATTATTTTATTTTTGTGAAAAAGTAAGTTATCAAATCTATAAATAATTTGCTGCAATATTCCTTCAAATGTTAACATAGTGTTCATCATAAAAAAAGCACCAAAGACTTGAAGTAAAATTAAATTGAGATAAACAGAGTCAATATTACTCTTTACTGGTAAAATATCCTTATTGCAATCTTATTACTTTGTATTTACTAGTAAAAAAAGAGCAAAATAAACACTAATAAATTACTTCTATTCTAAATAATCATATTTCAAGTGATATTGTTAGCACCATAAAAAAGTTATTTACTTTGGTATAAATTGAACAGAGGTGTGAAGGTGTAAAAGGCAACAAAAAGACTGGTGGGTTTAAAATGTAAGATTATTGCATTGTGTTACAGTTGACTGCGGTTACAAAA